GCTCGGCTCTCAGTATGACATCTATTAAGCCTAATGAGTGTGGAGCTCAGCGAGTCAGACTGTGGGATATACGCTGTGCTATCCGAGTCTCAAATCAGAGACGCCAGCCCTCTGCATTGTCTGGTATAAATAGATCCGCAATTGGAGCCAGAAGAGTTGTGGAGTGCGCCCGAGGGGTTGTAAACAGATTGTGATTTGTTGCGGAGAGATAGAGGGAAGAAAGGTGGAGAGGAGGGAGGGAGGGAGCTGCCGAGCGGGTAAGGACGCAAAATAGGGCTGCAGGATAGGGGACACAGGGATGGAGGGTAGAGGAACAGCTGACAGGGAAGGTGGCAAAGGGGGACAAAGTTGTTAGATGATAGAGGGAAAAATGTTTAGGTTATGTGCTGTCAGAGAGGTTGTCGTTGATGCTCAGAGATCTTCTGTGTAAACTTCAAGGAAGAAAAAGGGAACAGAGATTTGAGGCTTCAGCCGTCTTTGTCTTTCCTCTCTGAAGCCTGAGCTGATCCAAGAGGAAACAAACTGGAACTGAGCTGGAGTCCTCGCTCCTGTCAAGTCTGATTCAGGTACAGCTGCGCAAGAAGCCTGGAAGTCCCGGCGGTCGCGCAGAGACGGCACGTTTGTTAGTGTTTTGGTTTTGGTGGAAGTGCCCTCATATCATCTTCTATCTGGCCAACATCAGTAAACTGAGGTACGTGTTTGACGTCAGTGCTTGTACACGGAGACGTGCCGATACGAGAGTTTATCTTTTTCTTTTTTTTAAGAAGCAGGTCGGTCTCAAAGGATTTTCACTGACTGTGAATGTTTTTGCTTTGTTTTTGTTTTTTTGAAGTATGCCCCTCCTGTGCTCGCGCTTAGTTAAGATCACGTCACGTGTGTTTGACATGTAAAGGCGAGGCTGCCTTGATGTTCATTCAAGCGAAATAAGATTGTGAATAAACATCTACTGTATGCAGTTTATTGACCTTGACCAAGTCATTCACATAATAAAGCATCCACAGTAAAGACAGCGTGAGTGAGCAGACTCAGCAGAAGAGAAAACTTTGTTTATGCCCAGTGGTGATGTGAAGATTCTCCATATGCACCGTTTGTCATACATTCATGTTTTTCCATGAAAAGGAGCTTAAAAAAGAACTTAATGTGTTTCCACTTCACACTTTACCTGAAAAACCTTTAAATAGTTACCTCGAGAGCTGTATTGATTTATTGAATTGGTTTGGATATTCACACAAACACAAACATAAGCATTTGTCATTTTTACCTCCAAAAAGTGGTCGCTTGCTCACTAGGCCTGTGTGAGACCTGCAGTACGGATCATCTGGCAAGTTGCTGGGAAAGTTTGTATTTCCTGACCAGTTACAAAAAGTTGCTGATTAATGCTGTAAAATGACTACTAGAGCCCCAGTGCCGCAGGCTTAGAAACTAGTTTACCACCCGGTAACCACCGATTTCTATGGAAAACTGTATGTTCAGTGACTGGTTGGCAACTGGTTGCTGGAGGTTGCTGGCAGTCACTAGAGTGAGGTCAGTCACTGTGCTTTGCATACAAGGCACACACTTGTCTGGAAACTACCGGTGACGAGGGTAATCTGTTAGCACCTAAAACAAAAAAGAACAGTTTCACTGTAGCAACCTGTCATAGATTACTCCGTTTTCCCTCATGAGGTCTTCGGCTGGTGTCAGCATTTGATTTCACAGCAACTTCCAGAAATCTCCAGCAACCAACTCTGGGCCTGTGTGATTGGGGCCCAACATGTCAGTAGTTTCCCTCCCAGTTAGCCTGTTTACATTTACGCACTGAGCTGCTGCACTTAACTTTTACCAAGTTTGTGCGTCCCGTAGACGCTTTTGTTATAACGCAATGAAACCTCTGCAGCCAGAGCAGCAGGATGACATGTGTGAAAATATTATTGTATCATTTAAACGTTTAACCGACCTCTAAAAATACTTTTTACAAGCATATATTTTATAGTTTACGGTCGTTAAATGTCATAAGATGGACTTTTTCTTGTTGACTTTGTCAACCTGTTTGGTCACAAAATGCCTAATAAAAAGTAGCTGTTACTGTTCAGAGCTCAGCTAAACGTTCAGGCTGTAAATGTAAAACTCGCCTGTAGGACAGGAAGCTGTAAATACCAAATTCACATCTCTTCTATTGACAGTTATTTTTAGTTTAGTCGAACAGTTTGCATGAAGGACAAACACTGTGCTCGCTGAGAGCCAGGTAGTCATCAGAGCGATGTTGCAGTAGAGAGCTCACGTGCACCTCCAGCTGTTCTTCTGAACAGAATTTCAAAATAAAATGAAGATGCTGGGATTTTTAAAAAAAAAAGCCACTTTAGATTCATCTGAGTTGGTCGAGATATAATTGATTGAAGTGTTTAACATTAATCCCAAATTTAACTACGATCCTGCAGCATTAATACGTCTGGGATCCTCACTCTGTTCACCTGAAACCATTTTGCGGTTTTATTTGTTTGGGAAATGTAGGCAAATTCCAGGCTGGGAATACGAGCTCGCAGCATTAAAACTGCAGGGGGGGGGGGATAGTTATTACAAGTAAAAGGGGGGGAATGAGGAAAAAAAGGCATGCGAGCCAGTTCAGATGGGACGGCCTGCCGAGTGAGCGCGAGAAGGGGGGAAGAGACATCGGTGTCTACAAGCGAGCATGGAGGGTTTTCCTTGGCCTTAGAAGTAAAGAGAGCAGAGAGGGTATGGGAGGAGAGAGAGTGTGTGTGTGTGTGTGTGTGTGACGCTGGTTCCTGGAAAAGCAGAGGGCTGCAGAATAAACAGGCTGCATGCCTGAGACTGCCCTGTGATGTCACCACTGGGCAAACGAGGGACGAGGGGAGGAGAGAGAAAGGAGCAGAGAGAGAGAGAGAGAGACGCCCATCAGGTTAAAACAGGAGGCGGGGGGGCGACAGCCGAGCCAAAAGTGACAGAGGCTGAGCTGGAAAAGACAAGTCAGATGTGCAGGACGTACCGTCCTTCCTTGTAACGGCCCTAAAAGAAGAAGAAGGAAGAGGGGAGGAGGAAAAACAAGGAGGAGAGGACGAAGAGGAGGAGGAGGAGGAGGAGAGCACTGATGGGTGCGTTTAACGGCCGCTCTGATTCACACCTTTCTCTCGTCTTTTCTGCATCATCTTCTCCTTTTGTGCGGCTCGCAATTAGCGCCGGTGCCTGAGATGTGAGGTGTGTTTGTGCGTGACCATCAGCGAGAGTGTGTGTGAGGCTTGTGTGTGTTTTCTTGTGGCAGAAGAACACAATGTTCGGGGAGAGAGTGTGTTTATGAGTTATGGGTTTGCATTAAGAGCCGCGGCACTTTGATAAGTGTAGTTTTCAGCCGTAAACACATCTGCGGTGTGCTTTCCCCACTCCTCTCTTAGCACTTGCTTTAGCTAATATTAGATGAGGAAAAAAATGAATGAAAAAGGAAGAAATAGGCCTTATTCCAACCAGGACGTCAGATTGCAGGCCTGAAAGCGCAGCACGGAGTGCTTTTTAACCTTCAGCTAGCAGAGGACTGTGAAGTAGCTCGTTCAGACGCGGGAAAAATGATGACTGAAGAGCAAGAAAAGCAACTTTTCAAAGCAGAAGAGGCCAACGCTCTCAAACAGTCTGTGGCAGCCTGCTGAAAGAATTATGCTGATAAGCTTTTGATAGCTTTAGTTCTGTACAGGTTAAACTCGCGCCTCAGTTCTTCAAAGGATGTGATAAGATCGTGAATCTTTTCAGGACCTTTGGAGGTCCAGAGTTTAAATACAGCATGTGCATTTAACTGCTTGGTCCTATACTGTTGGACTGTTGTGTGGAGCAGTTTGTCTTTTAAATAGTTGTGAGTGATTTTCACAGCTCCTGCAATGTGTCACATAGAAGTTTGATGTTATTCATTACATGAACAGGTAGAGACATTCATCCATCCGTCAGCTGCTTTAAGGCCTTTAGACACGTAACATTTGATCATTTTGCGTGTAAAACAGTTTTTGGTTTTTTTCAGACTCACTAAAGCAGAGGCTCACAACCACGAATTTGATATGTTTAGTTTTTCAGATTTTTCTGATCCAAATGAGCAGATTCGACCAATAAGACCACTGCATTTGGCAACAAGCGTGTTGCCAAATGCAGTGGAAAAAGTCAAATAATACTATTTTACCTCAGGCACACAGCTAGACACTCGTCAGATGTGCTCACTACCTGACGCCCTTTATGATACAGCTTCAACCGCTGGGTCAGGTTCTCTCTGCTTCTGCTTTTGGATGAACGCAGAATCGCTGGTTCCTCGTTTTTATGTTAAGAAACATCAGGAGGGAACACGCCTGTATTTCGTGTAGTTTGTAAATCTCATGGAAATCTTCCATCAAGCCTTCACAATTACGGCTGACAGCGGTATGGGAGTTTCACTACAACCTCAGCAGCCGGTTCCTTCTTTAAAAAGCAAAACCCAAAGTTTTCCATGCGTTTCATTTATCTTTAGATCGGACTGCTTCTCCGTCTTTGCTCTGCACAGTGATTCACGGCTGTGGGAGTTCGTCTGTCTTAATCGAGCTCACCTCGCTCGTTCCCTCCTCGCCTGCTGGTCGGTTTCCAGATTGTAACCATCGTCGCTTCTAAAATGAGCAAAGGGCCAGAGAGGAGCCAAAACTCAGGGCGTTGCTCCATTTTTAATTAAATATTGGGTACCTTGTTAAGCAGATTCACAAATGGAAAAGGAAATGAAAGAACAAAAAATCCAACCATGTAGGTTCTTTTCTTGGAAGGAAAGCAATAGCCGGCTGAAAGAAGGGATCTCATGACTGGGAAATGTCAAACCTCATGTCCTGCAGGGTTGAAACAAATCAACCAGCGCGGACTACTGACTCATACGTTGTGTTGTTGTTTTTTAAAATCCCCCACATGACGACAAGTCCTTAAGGAGCCGCTGGGTGTTGCTGCCCTGTTCTCCTATGGCATGGATGGCGGCAACCATGTGGATGTGTTTCACCCCGGCACACGGAAAACACCGGCAAGAAGGCGGCAAGCCGAGTCGTTTGAGATGTGCGGTTACACTGGAGGACGTTCAGAAGTTTTTTCTGTGGTCTGTCTGCAATCCATTGCAAGGATCTTCCATAAGAGGCTTTTTACACGTCTCTGTGATGCAGCGAGAGTGCGTCTGTGCTGGAGCCTGGAACAAACTGGAAATGTTTCAGAGATTTGTCTGAGGAAAACAAAGATGTGATCAGTTTGTGGCTGTTTGAAAGGTCGAGCACGAATACGATATCCTCAAAAAAAAAAGAGTGTAAATGTGCCGCTGTGTGTTTTCTATGAGCAGACCTGGCTCTGAACCCTCCTATTAAGTGTGCCGCTGATGGCGTGTTTGCCTCTTTATTAACACAAAGTATCTCTGGCTCTCGCTGCGCTCTCTGCAAACATGTAGGTAAATAATCAGCCAATCGACTCCTATTTATTCAGATTAAATGGGGAGGAAGCTGCCTGATTGGAGGGCTTCCTGGGCAGGGATTTGTGCGCAGCCGGGCTCCAGGTCAATGCGATCTTTGTGGGAAGACGCCGGGCTTCTGCAATTACACACGAAACCGGATTGTTTGGCTTTTTTTGTATATACAAAAGAGACGAGGGGACAAAAGGGCGCTATTTTTATGAAAGCTTTATTTAACACTTTCTCTCAGGGATCAGAGGTCAGGGATGACTGTTGGAAAACATTCCTGGAAGTGGTATAAGCAGGAAAAAGCAACATATATGTGGCGATTAAGGTGATTTATAATCAGGGGAAATCCTTCGACCTTACATTGCATGTTCACTTGAGGCCGGATTTTGAAATGAAGGCGAGCAGATACGCAGGTATGCTTCCGTCCTAAAACTGCACAGCTGCTGGGGAGCGTGAAACCGCAGAGCTTCGAGTGACTTTTCAGGCGCTTTTCAGGCAGGTAGAAACACAGAACAACAGTTAGTAGGGCTTTGATTTAATCCCATTCATCCACGCAACCTTGCAGCTTTAAGTGCTCGAGAACAGGATCAATGTGACACATGTGAACATGTTACAGAGAGCCGTTGGGATCCACTCTCCTTTTTCCTATTTTCTGCTGCTGGGTGTCAATAGACTTTTATTAATTGCTTTCACGTGATAGTGGGTTCAATCTGTGCGTTTCTAAGCTTTACTTTGCTACTTGTGAAGCTGCAAAAAAAACACGAGGAGCTGATGCTCGCTGAGTGTCTGGCGAGGCTTTCGGTTAGAAAATATGAATGTTTTAATAATCTGTGGTGAGATGATGGTGATGATAATGTTGGCAGCTTGCTTTGCTGTGAGGTGTCACCACCTGTCAGGAGCAAACTAAAAAAGCAGATGCCTTTCTTCTTCTCTCCCGTCATCTTCCCTTGCAGTCGACATCAACTCTGCGCTGCCCCTTCGTCTCCCGCCGGCCGCCATCCCCATGGATCTGCGCGTGGACCATCACCAGCAGCAGCAGCAGGTGTCCTCGCTCTCCCCGCCCGCCCAGCAGTCGCCCGGCCAGCCCGGCGGCGGCAGCGTGGTGGCGGCATCGGTGCACGAGCAGCAGCTGCAGGCTGAGCTGCTGGCCCTGAAACAGAAGCAGCAGATCCAGCGGCAGATCCTCATCGCAGAGTTCCAGAGGCAGCATGAGCAGCTGTCCCGCCAGCATGAGGCCCAGCTGCAGGAGCACATTCAGGTACGGCCGCGTGTTTGTCAATGAATGAAGTTCAAGTGCTGGAAAAAAAGGAGGCATTCAAAACAAATCTGAAAAATTTGGCCCACGTTTTCCAGAAATGGCACTAGCAGTCCTTAAAGAAGAGCAGTTGAAGCTGTGACGGCCCGGCAGGATTATTTGATTGCACAGTGATTCCACCAATCACAGCTAGTTCACCTGTGAGTCCGTCTGTGAACAAAGGAAGGGCTGCTAACAATGCTGGAAGAAAATGTTTTTCTAGACTTGACAAGGAACACGCTAAAATCCAGTAGGAGGCTTTCTGTGCCGCCTGTTCAGAACATTCCAACCCTGTTCTGATCCGGTTCGGAAATGATTGAAATCCACCCTCAGTAGTAGGCACGCTCCATGATTCAGGAGCTTGTAGACAAACCTTTTTTTCTGCATGACTTTATCAGTCTGGGGCAATTTTTTCACAGTCTTAGTCTGTTTTAGTCTGCTTCCATTTACTGTGGGTTGCAGCCACTCGTTTATGCACAGCTCTTAATGTCTGACCGCAGTATTTCAGTCGGTTTGAGGTCTGGACTTTGACTTTTTCATTCTTTATTTTGCAGATTTGTTGTTGAAAATTCAGTTCAATTCAACTTTATTTATACAGGGCCGAATCACAACAAGAGTCGCAAAAGCGCTTTAGATAGGCACAACTTTCTAGAAGCAAATAATACACACAGCCTTATTTGTGTTGCATCACCTTTATCAAGTACTCGAACTAGTTCACTTCAGTTTTATTTAGCACCAAATCACATGAGTCGCCTCGAGGCACTTTATAATGTAAAGTAAAGACAGAGAAACCCCAACAATCAGACCCTCCCCTATGAGCAACCACTTGGAGACGGTGGGGACGAAAAGCTCCCTTTTAACAGGAAGAAGCCTCAGGCAGAATCAGACTAGTTGTGGTTGAGAGGAGACATGCTGTGGAAAAGAGCCAGAGATTAATCATAACTGATGACCAAATACAGAGAGGTGTATAAGCACAGAAACACTCAGTGCATCATGGGAAGCGTCCAGCAGCTTAGATCAATTGCAGCATAACTAAGGGAGGATTCAGGGTCACCTGATCCAGCCCTAACTATATGATTTATCATATCTGCCTCCTGAATCCAAACTGGGAGCTGGTTCCACAGATGGACCTGAAAGCTGCAGGCTCTGCCTCCCATTCTACTTTTAAATATTCAACACTTGGCTTTAAAAGCAGCAGAGTATTGAAAACAGACAACAGCCTCTTCTGGTCCACAGCTCAACAGATCAGCATTAGACCTGGTCGCGGTCTTTCCGGAGGACTGCACACAAGCACATTTACGTAGGTTGCAGACTCAGAAGGCTCAGTCTAGATTAATACCTACCCACTTTACCGTAAATTCACCGTAACATGGCTATTGGGTAACTGCTAATAGCTAAACGGCTAACATTAATGTGTTGACGTTTATTATAACTTTCAAATACGTCAGCGTGGTTGAAACAGGAGCTTTACTGACCTGTTGAAATTCCTCAGAGTGATGTTCAGTGTTTTGAGGTATCGACACTGCTGCAAATGGATAATCCTCAAAGAAATTTGAGTTTTTTGTATGGATTGGTTACTAATTTTAAATTTGTCAGACTTCTGGTAAGCATCTGCTCTCGCCACGATCATTGTAAATGCAGCTAATAAGCCCTGAAGAGTGAAGCAGTAAAACTGTTAATATTTTTTTGTTGTTTTAAATACGCAGGTTGTAATATTGTTGTTGTCAGCGAGGAACAAACGCTGTGTTGGACACTGATTTCACTTTAATTCTTCCATCAGTGTAAAAGCAGAGCAGCGGGCCTGTTACTCAAACCTATTTAAAACTGTCCTAAACAAAGCAAAGACAGACTTTGATGTAGTCTGCTGCGGGATTCTTCATTAGCAGACTAAACTCAGCCTGTGAGAGCTTTAAATGCTGCGAGTGAAGAGGCAGCAGAGAACAAGGAGGCAGTCTGCCTTCATTTATTTTAACTCCAGAGATGGAGAAGAGCAATATGAGCATGTGGTTGAAGTCGGAAAATGTGCGAAAGACTTTTTCCCCCTGGTGTTACATAAGTTATGCACAAGCCCTGTTGTAGCCTTACTTTAAATATCCAGAAATATACGGTGTGCTCAGGGCGACGTGAAAAAGTGAAAAGTCCAGTTTGGTGTGAACGGCCCGGGCCGGACGCTTGGGGAACATAAACAGAGCTGCACAGGAGTGTGCGCTGGAGCTTGGATCACATGTCACAGTGACCTGGAAATACAAAGTGAATCTAGATCATCACGCCCACACGCCGAAGCTTTAATACATCAGCCCCCCACCCCCGAGAGCGCCGGAGCGCTCCCGAGAGGCAGAAATGTCACATAAAGATATTCCAGTATTTGCTCTTTTTTAGAAGAATACTGCTGTAATATGAATTGTAATACACGCAGATACAGCTGAACTACTTATTATTTCAGGACTTAGAATAAATTGTCTGAAAATGGATTGTGGGGGCAGAAGATCAGATGGCGACGTGCAGGATTACATTAGTTTGAATGTCACATGCAAGTCTTTGCTCTCTTGATCTCTTGGTTCTCAGCTTCCCTCTTTCCGAACCTTTTTATTCTTTTCTTTTCTCTTGTTTCTTTCGAGCTTGTCTTGCCTTTGTCTTTTTGTGCTTCCTTCTTCCTTACTGGTTCTGCTTTCCCCCCCCCTTGTTCTTCCCGTCTCTAATTTTCTCTTTTCTTGTTCCTTCTCTCACTTCTTCCTTGTGTCTTCACATTTAAACTTTTCCCTCATTTGTTTGTGTGTCATCCGCTCCTCCTACTTTCTTCTGTCTCTTACTTTTGGTTTACATTTTTTCTCTTCCTCTAATTTCACTCTATTGTATCTTTTTCCTTTCTAGACGTTTAAAATGATCCATTCAGTCTTGTGTGAAAGTGGGATCATGGTCCTGTTGCACGACCCCGTTTGGGTCCAACTTTATCTGTTGGACAGACGACCTCACTTTGACTCTACTGTGGTATAGAGTGGATTTCATCATTGTATCAATGACTACAAGGTGCCGAGGCCAAATCGTGGCCCTTCACCACCATGCTTGACAGCTGGTATGATGTATTTGGTTGTTGTGCGTCATGGTCAAACTTTGGTCTCATCCAAAGGACGTTGTTTCAGAAGTCTTGTGTTCTGTTCAGATGCAGCTTTGCAAACAGAAATTGTTCTTGTCCTGTTATTTTAAAGAAAAGAGATTTGCCCCTTGTTACCCTCCAACCTGTTCGGTCTTTTTCCAGCTGCACTGTCATGAACTTTAACATTTACCATTTTAACTGAAGCCTGCAGAGTCTGAGATGTAGCTCTTGGGTTTTTTGCAGCGTCTCCGAGCATTGCACGCACTGACCTTGAGGTGAATTTGGGGTGAGTTGTCCACTCCTGGGAAGACTGGCAACTGTCTTGAATGTTTTGTACTTGTGAATAATCTTTCCCAGTGCAGAATAATGGACTTCAGATTGTTTGGAAATGACCTTACAATGCTTCCCAGACTGATGGGCAGCACGAGTTGCCTTTGTTTTTTCCTCCTTGGCATCGTGTTAACACACAACTGAATGCTCCAGACCAGCAACCTTACAAAACTTCTGCTTTTACAGAGGTGCTCAGAATGACTGGTGATCAGCTAATCAAGTGCATATGATTAGCAGGACTTAGAAAGCTGGAAGGGTGCACCTCTGCATTTTGTTAACTAATCTGTTGTAGGTTGTATTTACCTCATGTTAAGAGCTGCTAAGGACCAGATTACATTTTTACTATGTTCTGATATGTAAAACCTTCAGACTACAGGGAATTATGATGCATTTATTGTAAATTCCGTACACAGGGCTGCACATAAGTGGTCCGCAGGTGCGTATTCGCTGTCAAAATAAAAGCCGCGCGTCAGATAAGAAGTTGGAACGCGCGTTTGCTGGAACGCGTACATAAGATGTTCTGGAGGAGCGGGAATACGCACTTCTTTTGCTGTGGAGGAACACCAAAGTTTTCCGTCCTGTTTTGTCATTTTTGTGATGCCGAGGGATGAGCGAGGATCTCTGAAGGTGCGTTTGAGTTGTGGCGGCGCGCAGATGGAGGAGAGTGACGCACAGACTGAGCAGTGAGGCCTGTCCTCAATCAGCTCCTGTGTGCACGCACAGAAATCTACAGCCATTAAAACCTAAACATCCTCTTAAATGTCAGCAAGCACTCGAACACATGCCCACAGTAGCACATACTCGAGTACTCATAGCAGCAGGCGTACATACGCTGATTCACATGCTAACAACGGGGAACTCTCAGAAATTGAGACAGTCGGAAACTATTTAGTCAAAAAGTGGCAACATTTTCTATAATAATAATAATAATAATGATAATAATGGATTGCATTTATATAGCGCTTTTCGGGGCCCTCAAAGCGCTGTGTACATCTCTGGCCTAGTGAGCCACAGGGGTTTGGGCTGTGTGAATGTGGGTGGCGAGGTTACTTTGAGCCTTGCCACCCACTCAATCCCTTATCCCCCAACCTCGATTGAAAGACCAAAAAAAGGAAAAAGGATTCAGGCGTCGGGCTGGAAGCCAGCCAGACAGCCGATGAGCTTTTCTCACGGGCCCCACCTCACCTTCCTCTCACCTTCAGCCGCTAATTTATTCACAGACCGGTCTCGAGCATTTGATTTACCCTGGCGGTAAACACGAGCGCATGTCCCGGCTACTGAGCGTTTATTTACACTTCTTAAAAAAATAAAAAGACGCCATCACGACTTGATTACAGTAAACTAATCAAATATTGCCACTGGTTTCACAATGATAAGGGAGAAAGGAGCCCAGGGTGTTGATTCCTTGGCACATCAGCGAGAGGTCATTATGTTGCCGGCGGAGTGCAGGCAGCTTGCCTATTTATTCCATATTACAAAGTGATTCGGAGGCTTCACTCTGTACTTTATGTTGTTGAAATTACGGCTGCGAAAAGGGTGAAAGTGAGCTTCAGCCTGCGTTTAATTTAATTGATGCTTTTATCCACAGTCAGGCTCTGGGTCTTAGGACACTCAAGTGGGACGAAGAGGTGTCTCCAAGCACAGGTTGGCTTTTACTGTGATTTTATTTTTGACCTTTTTGGTTTCAGCACAAGCCGTCAGGGCACAGGTGAGTTTGTTTCTGCGGTATAAAAGCACAGGGAAGGCAGATTTCAGAGCATTTAACAGATGCTCTTCTGTCTTTTTTCTGAGGAAGTAAGCAGATTGGATTATGTGTTTTTTTACTAAAGCCTCATCCCCCTGTTAAATTGTTTATATTTATTTAAAGGCTTAAGCTTCTGGCCTGAGGTTTTTGGGGATTTTTTTATAGAACTGCAAAGGTTTTATTTCTTTCCCCCTCCTTTTTTTTCTTTAAACAGCTGTCAGATGTATTTACTTCAGATGGCAACTCAAGCAAAGCAGAAATGGGACTACTCGACTTTTAAAGACGACCAAGTATTGAAATGGTTGCATTTTAAAGATCTTTGCAAAGTGATGGTATCTGATAAGGCGAGCGGGTTTAGTCCGTGAAGTGAGCCAGTAGCATCAGCGGATTTCTTTGGTGCAATAGATTTAGTATATTTAATTTAGGCATATAAAACTTTACCATCATGCTATGATTTTCTTTCCTTTAAGCTCCTGACGTTCTTAAAAGTCGTTCGAATTTGAGCATCCGGAATGTCCGGGATCACAGACGGTGATTGTTTTGTTTCCTGTTCAGATTCTTTTGCCATATGATGATGATGTCACATGTCATATGGACCATCCATTTGCTGTGACACTTGTGTTTAATACTCAGATCCACTGATCTGGAAGAGCCACTGTGATTCAGGCTCTTATGTGCACTCAGATTGTGGGGAAATAAAACGTCTTCGGGACTTAAAGTTGTTCGATCGGTGCAAAAAGCGCGTCCAAAGTGCAAGTTAACACCATTTCACAGCCACAAAGTGAAAATATGACTATATAAGAAAGTAATCATGGATTGAAGGTGAGCCTAGGATCAAAATGTAGGTAAACAATGAGACCTTTCATATGACGTGACCTGTTTTGATCAACCAACCAATCCTTCATGTTGACATGACCTTTAAAAATGAACCCCCAAAATTCCCTTCTTGAGGTTAAAGCCACAAATGAAACTTCTAAGGCACTAATGCTTGTTCCTGCTCCTCTGCATCATAGACATTAAATTGGTGCAGCTTTGCTACTGAAAATGTGATATATCCTGTCAAGTTGATGCAACAGAAATTGATTTTGGCTTCAGGTTGTGACATCTGGAGCTGAGTTTTAGGCCTGAAAATTGAATGTCTGTCTCTTGTTCTTACAGATGTGAGGGCTCAAAAATGCTTTCACCCACCTCAGAGTGTAAAACCTTTGCACTTCTTCATTAAATGCACTAATTGTATCATACATAAAAAATCAATGATGTGATTCTGAGGGGGTCACGTGGGAACTTTATAAAAAACGGTTGATTTATGTGGAATGACCCAAGTGGTAATAGTTCTTCATATACAGTAGCCTACTGTATACTACCGACCCCAGCCAGTCGCAGCAGCTGGCCACATGGATCTGCTGGAAGTTTCTCCCTGTTAAAAGGGAGTTTTTCCTTCCTACTGTCACCAAAATGCTTGTTTACAGACGGTCATCTGATTGTTGGAATTTTCTCTGCATTATTGTGGTCTTTGTCTTACAATATTAAGCACCTTGAGGTAACTGTCATTGTGATTTGTTGCTGTATAGATAAAATTGAATTGAACTATTAGAAAAAGCGTATTTGTGAGTTTCACGTGGTCACTGGTACGTAGCATAGCAACAGCAGTGACTGTAGTGACTTGAGACATGCTCACAAAAGTATGGGATGAGTTTGTTGTTTGGACATGTGTGGTGATTACGGAGAAGGAAACATAAAGCTCTTGTGAATATGGTAAATATTGTATATAACCTTGTAGTTTTCTGTGTTTTTGCATGCTCGTATTGTTGTTGACCTATTTATTCCTGCTGTGTTCACTCTGCTGCTCTAACAATGTGAATTTCCCAACTCTGTGACTAATAAAGCCTATCTTATCTCATCTCATGATATGTAGACAGATAGATGTGAGGGCTAATAAGGAACAGTTCCAAACTTCCGTGCAGGATACTTGGAATTATCTGCAATCAGTCGCCCGTTTGGTGAATATTTGCTAATGTGATTGTGGTCTTTCTTCGTGCAGCAGCAACAGGAGCTCCTGGCTTTGAAGCACCAGCAGGAGCTGCTGGAACATCAGAGGAAGATGGAGAACCACCGTCGGGAGCAGGAGCTGGAGAAGCAGCAGAGAGAACAGAAGCTGCTGCTGCTGAAGAACAAGGAGAGGGGCCAAGAAAGTAAGTTGAAGCAAGATGAGTGATACTGAGAGCGCTAGCAGTCAAACTGAATCTGAAGCCAAGCCTGCGCCCTGTAGCCAACTTTCCCAGTTTGAACAGCAAAACCATATGAAATCATATATTGAACCAGTATAACAGCAAATGTAACTTATTTATTTTCTCTCATCTTCAGTTCACACTTTGTCACCACTGGTGCCTCAGTATGTCACTATCTAAGCTGATCAAAGCTCCTACGAACCTGCAGTTGTCATACAGAATTCTCTACCACATCTATACTCACAACAGAATCTGCTGTGAATCTCTGGGTCGTACCCAGTAATGAATCTAATCTGGGTTTAACTAAAACATAACAGGAGCCAAGTTGTGCTTGTTGCTAACCACTGTTTGTGGGAGTCTTTCCTCTGAGTTTAATAAATACCTTCAGGTTTATAGGATCCATATGAGTGTCCCCAAAGCAAGAGACTTGCGTGCATTTATGTTTTCCATAAATACATACAGAACTTAACCTACTGGGATGCATCAACAGGACAACACTGGAAACAATAATTAGAGGTTGTCGTCCCCATATTAGTAGCTTACGTTATGAACAGCATTTGATTTCACACTCAGTTCAGTGTTACAGTTACAGCATATAATGTCGTGTGTAGGGTACCCCCCACCCACCACCACCACCACTACTGTGAACTATTGTTTCCTGTCTATACAGTCAGGAAGCTTGGTAGCATCTGCCAGAGTTATCGAGAACTCTCTGTTCAAAAGGACCGTTGTGTTTGTGCGCTTCTGTGCGTGTGTGTTTGCATGTCTGTGTATTTCCATTTTACTTGGAGAACCTGTGTATTTACTGTGGTAAACGAGCTGTATTAGCCCGGTGGCCTTGGCTGGAGCTGGGCCGAGTTGTTACCGCTGCCTGCTGGATGTCTCTCAACAGTTCATTGAAAGCAAGTGGACAGGAGTCCCTGAGAGCCGTTTACACACTATATGGAAA